TATACTCTGCTATAATCATAATGCTTTTTAATTTACCTCGGATTCTTTAGGTTGTGACTTTTATCTGCTCTTGCTTTCTTTTCTATTCTATTTCTAGAGGCTTGGCGCAACCTTTCTCCTAATCTGCTTGCATCAGGTCCCACTGGACTTACGACTGGTCTCAACTTACTTGGGCCAAATGCTAATGGACGTTGGGATTCTCGTTACGCCGGTACAAACTCTGGCTGGAGTTCCACTTCACAATTGTTGTGTCATCTGAATTTGATGCTTGGAGGTCCCCTTGGCTCTATCGCCCTAACTAGCCTTCAACGTCTTCCTGGCTGTAGGGGGCGACACTTGGTTGACCACGAAGGCCTCACATGCATAATTTGTCTTCTTATTGTCAGCTCAGCCCATTCTACCTATCGTAAAAATATCATTCCAATATTAAAAAAAGTGCTTCGTAACCTTTCTTGCCATCCGGCCACTCGGAATTGGCTCATCTGCACTCTTCTCTGGTTGTTAAAAAACATTTCAAATAATGGCCTCGATGGCCAATCTAAATCCATCACCGATGATAGTCGCGGAACAGTTTTTCCTCATCTACCTCATACTGATCGGCCTTTAAATAACAACTCCATCTTCCTTTCTGGTTTTGAAGCTGTGCTCGGTTTCTGGGTGCGAATTTTTCATCCTGTTTGTGTCTCTGACGATAATAAGTCCGACAAAACGAGTTCTCTTACCTACATCATTCATCCTCGTGCCTCTCCAATGGCATCTTGGGTCCTCTTGGACACTTTGGGTGACCTAACACGTGCGTGCCCGGCAAATTTCTATCCTATTTATATGCCATATGTCTCAAAAACTATCAATGATTCTCAGGATGAACCGATGCCTATGATTTTCGAAGAGTCAGGAGCTCTTTGTTCCGATTCCCCTGCAACTGACCGTAAGCACAACAGCAATTGTTTATGCAAAATTGAACGATTTTAGTATTATTTTATCCCTATTTTTCAACTCAACATTGTTAACGAATGTCGGGTGTTTATCCGAGCTCCCCAAATTCAGTCTCAAACTAAATTATT